ATTTCTAAGATTTAGTAATGATTAGTAATAATGAAATTATTATTAATATTTAATGATTTGATAGTAATGATTTAGTAATGATTAGTAATAATGAAAATATTATTAATATTTAATGATTTGATATTAATGATTTAGTAATGATTAGTAATAATGAAATTTATTATTAATTTTTAATGATTTGATAGTAATAATTAGTAATGATTAGTAATAATAATTTATTATTAATATTTAATGATTTGATATTAATGATTTAGTAATGATTTGATAGTAATGCTTTACGACTTGAACAATGAACAATGTTTGGTTCAATTAACCATATTTTCGTTACATAACTAGTAATGAAATTATAATAATGATTTAGTAATGATTAATAATAATAAAATTATTATTAATATTTAATGATTTGATATTAATGATTTAGTAATGATTAGTAATAATGAAATTATTATTAATATTTAATGATTTGATAGTAATGATTTAGTAATCATTAGTAATAATGAAATTATTATTAATATTTAATGATTTGATATTAATGATTTAGTAATGATTAGTAATAATAAAATTATTATTAATTTTTAATGATTGATAGTAATAGTAATGATTAGTAATAATAATTTATTATTAATATTTAATGATTTGATATTAATGATTTAGTAATGATTTGATAGTAATGATTTACGACTTGAACAATGAACAATGTTTAGTTCAATTAACCATATTTTAGTTACATAACTAGTAATGAAATTATAATAATGATTTAGTAATGATTAGTAATAATGAAATTATTATTAATATTTAATGATTTGATAGTAATGATTAGTAATAATAAAATTATTATTAATTTTTAATGATTTGATAGTAATGATTAGTAATAAAAATTTATTATTAATATTTAATGATTTGATATTAATGATTAGTAATAATAATTTATTATTAATATTTAATGATTTGATATTAATGATTAGTAATGATTTGATAGTAATGATTTACGACTTGAACAATGAACAATGTTTGGTTCAAATAACCATATTTTCGTTACATAACTAGTAATGAAATTATAATAATGATTTGATACTAAAAATCATTATAAATATGTCGAATTTGTTAAGGTTTGAAAAACCTAGTCTAATTTCAATATTAAATTTGTAACAAATAACAAACTAGTTTACAATTGTTGCCGATGTCGGGGTGTTGTTGAATGATAATGTTGGGGCGGACGTCTGATGCGTTGTGGCCGTTGCGGTTGCTCAGGAGTATGGTACCCATCCTCCTCATTCATTGGGGGCATTTGAACTGACATGTGTTCAAAGTCATACGTCGACGAAAACATGGGAGAGTAGATGGATGCATCAGGCTGCACAAACTCTGGTATATATGCATCGCCGAACGGTTGTGGTGCGCTATTATCCACATCGGTCATTTCCGCTTCAGGTTGTTGAGATGAACTCCCACTCTTACTTGGTAGAGAGTATTCAGCTTTACCAAATCTTTTCTTAAACCTCAAAATTTGTCGCCTCTCTACAATTGTTGTCAAGAATGGCTTTCCATTATCCAAAAAATAAGCAAGGTAAGTCGAAGTCTCAAAATTAAAGTCGTTGTCTTGAATGTCGTCAAGAGTTGGCATGAATGAAGCCCTATTGTTCCAAGCATTAATGTAGGTTGCATGCTTCTCAACCCAATTATCATTTTCTTTACGACGACCATCAAATCTGTGCAGCTGGTCATGCGTCTCAACCCAATTCACCTGACGACGACCATCTAAGATTTGGAGGAGGTCATGATCCCATGGACTCCGCAGAATAGGTTGGTAGAAGTGGAATTGCCTCAACACTCTATCCTCAAATTAGATCTCAACAAAAGCAAAATTGATCAATGGTGTAACAGCACACCAATATTGAAACCCATCTAAAATATCGTACGGTATTAACGCAAGTATTTCTTCATTCATGTGTGGTCTCCAATTAAACTGTAAAATTACAAAAACAATAAAATTTATTTAAATCAAATAATATAGTTAATTTAAATAATAATTAAAAATAACAGATTATACATACCTCCTTTTTTACCTTAATGTCGATCTTCAGCCTGAACTCTTTAATGTTGTTGTGCACAAACCCGTGCCTTCAATTTTATGCCTCCATCTGTATATCAATCAAAACAAAAATATGGTCATTTTTATTTTATAATTAATATTTTATATTAAATTAGAGAATTCATATTACCTTCCGGCAAGTGGAAAGTCAACCGCAGTCCGACTAATCGGTGTCAGAAACGGAAGTCTATGCCAAGCCCATGACTATAGCAGCAACAGACATCCACCGATTTCTGTTGTATTATTATCATTCACGACTAATGACGCCTTGCACATCTCACGATACAAGAACGCCAATATCGTCGATCCCCAGCTATATTGCCTACTATTCTCAAAATTTATTAAAAAAAGAAGATACTGAGTGTGAACATAATTATCGGATTTATCCGGCATTAAAATACCCCCAATCAACTGTAATATATATGCTCGCGTTGCATATATAATTTCGTGCTCCGTACTATTTGGTTGAAGCTGAAATTTATTCTTCAACCATGATAACCTCACACGCCACCCTTTACACTCTGGTGGTACGGACGTTTTCCCAAGAAACAAGCTACAAAGTTGTGCCACATTATTAAACTCATGTGACATTACCACTGGCATCCCATTTGTTTGGACCCCGAGTTGCAATGTCACATCCTCCAGAGTTATCGTACATTCGCCACACGGCAAATAAAATGTGTGCGTTTCTGGTCTCCAACGCTCAATCAAGGCACTGATCAAACAATGGGACCAACTTGTAATCTCGCACAAATGTTACATACCAAAATCCAGCCTCCTGCAAGTTTTCTTCTATCAATCTGTGTGGCTTGGGCACTTTATGTAGACGAAGGACTCGCTGCTCGTCCTCCTGCAATTAAATATTTCAAAAAATTTATCACAATCATAAAATAATATTCAAATATTTATTAATTATAATTCATTAAACAAATATTTTATTCACCGTTATTCCCAAATGACTTGAAATATGTTCATTGTCAAGCCTCAACAGTGTAATTTGGTCAGCCATTGGAATGAATCTGTAAAAAAAATTAAACAACAATATTTAAAAAACCATTTAATATAATATAATATAAACTAACTAACTAATTTACAACATTAAACTTTAATATAATAACTTATAATATAATAAACTAACAAACTAAACTTTTTAAAATATAAGTTAAACGTAAACGCTAAACCCTTAAACAACTAATAAAATATTCTTTTATATAACTAAAACTAATAAACTATTTTTTTCATTATAATATACTACTAATAAACTTACTAACTAATTTTTTTATATAATATAAATTCAACAAACAAATATAACTTAACTATTTAACTACCACAAACTAATTAAATAATTTTTTATATAACTAACGATTAAACAACTAATAAATTAAATAATTTTTTATTTATGTATAATATAACTTAAACTAACAATCATATGACCCTAAACTAACAAACTAATTAACTGATTTTTGTTTTACCATAAACCCTAAACTAACAAACTAAACATTTATAATAATAAACTAATTTAAATAAAAAAAAAATCCTCACAAGAGCCTTATCTCCATTTCTTCTTCTTCCTTTCCTTTCTCACTTTCTTTCTTTCTCTGCTGCAATTTCTTCTCCCTTTCTTCTGCTGCAATCTCTTCTCCCTTTCTTTCTTTTATGTTCTCACGATAATACACACCCCATATATAATTTAGGTGTCACCGGCTGCCTCAATTATTTCACCAATAATTGTGCAATTGCAGCTATGATAGCAGCTGATTTCACGCTGCAATGGTTCAATAATTACACCAATAATTCACGGCTCAAATGGTTCACATGCATGCATCAATAGTTGTTGCATGAAGCAGGTGATTTCACGCTGCAGGCATGCAGCGGGAGCAGGAGGGGAGCACGTGAAGGAATCTCAGTTGGCTATTACAGCTGCTCGTGGCTCGTGTAAAACCCCACAAAGGTCGCCTGAAAGGCATGGCGGCCTACAAGGTCGCCTGGATTGCATGGCGACCTATGGTCATTACTGAATTCACCCCATTTGTAAGAACTCCGAACTCTTCGTTGAAGCCAACCCGAAAAATCTTCAAGACGATATTCCAAGTAAGCCCGACTCGGTTCGAGCTGGCCCGAGCCTTTCATGGTGACCACGTGGATGAAAACAACCAAGCATGCAAGCAATATGACGAGGATCAGCATGGAAACAACCAAGCTTGGTCGTCAGGACTGCTTGGCGACCTACAAGGTCGCTGGGAGTGCATGGCGACCTTGTAGGCATGGCGACCTGTGTTGGGGTGTTGGGGAGTGCATGACGACCTGTGTTGGGTGTTGGAGACGTGCATGGCACATGCAGACGTCCATTATCTCTGTGCAGCTCGCCGGGAAGCCATGGCGACGTAGTAGATCGCCGGAAGGCATGGCGACCTACGGCACACTGTGGATTTCACCTATTTCAGCAAATAATATTGGGAGTGCATTATCTTATGAATTATTTATTTTGAAAGTATTATATCGTGAGTTTAGCCATTTTTTATCATCACTAATAATATATACATAAATCATACAGTTGATCACATAGTATTTAATCATTTTTATTTTTATTTTTAAATTAAAAAAATAAAAAATAATTATTAAAGTTATATTAATTTTCATAATTAAATGACTAATAATGTAATTTATTTTATTTTTAAATATTCATTTCGCTTTCTAATAGTTTATGCATAAAATAAGAAAGAAAAGGGAGACAAGTTGCAAACACTGGCATGATGAGAGAGTGACTTTATGAAGGGCAATTAATTTTAATTTAATTTTGCTTCCCCTATAAACTCCCCCCTCCTCCTTGCCCAAATCATCTTCCATTTCCTCACCGCTTTATCCTTCTCTTTTCCCTCTCTCCCTAAATAATAAATACATGTTGTTCTTCATTTTGAATTTCGTCTGAAAAATCTCCCCCAATCTCCGTTTCAAAGCTCTTTTAAGTCTCTTTATTTGTTCGTAGTATATAATTTTCCTGTTTTTCAGCCATGTGTGTTGCAGTTTTAAAACCAGATGATTGTTTAAAGCTACCGAATCCCATGAAACACCACAAAAATCTCTACCCTAAACCGAACCGTTCGAATCGGGTACCGCAAAACCGAAAGAATCAGTTTCCGATGACCTCCCCTCCCCCTACTCCGTCTGCCTGCTCCAAATCCCCGGCCAGAAATCTCGTGATGGGTCAAGTCAAGATCCTCAAACGCGGCGAATATTTGGAAAAACCATCCCCTCAAAAGTCCGTCGGGTTCGAAAAGGAAAACATTGATGTAGATCTGGGTTCAACTAATCGCTTGGGTCCAGATCCTGGGTCTATCCCGACCCAGATCCGACTGACCGAGTCAAACAGCAAGAGCGGCAACGATAAGTTCGTTCCAGTCTCGTTTTATTCTGGGTCTGCCTTCATAGCATCGCCGCCACCGAGTTCCGTTCCGATGCCGGTGTTCTTCACGAAGACGACTGAGGTTTCTGTAAAGAATAACGACGCCACAAGTGACTTGAGGAGGATATTGAGGCTGGATTAGAAGTGGTAGTTTGATCTTATCGGTCTGGGTTTCGATTTGTGTACTCTGGTGTTCGATCATCCCTTATTTTTTCAAGGGGAGAGGTCGAAAAATATGTTAGGCTGTAGCTTTTCGTAATGATGCTTCGTACGGTGTATAACGTAACTGCATGTAGCTTTTAGTTAACTCGTCTGCGTTAATATGCAAAGTTGTCTCTGGGCTCTTTAATTTATTTGTTAACAGCTTATGGTGTTTCTTTGTTCGTTCGTTTTCATTTGAAGTAGAACTAGGGTTGGGTATTATGACCAGTTGTGTTTTCTTGGTTTTATTATTGTTGTGCTTTGAAAATTGTATGATTGACAGTTGCTGTTGCACTACTGGGTAAAAGTGAAGTCGAATAATTATTTGAAGTAGAGTGATTGTTACCGTGATCACTATAGGTCTCCACAAGCATATAACAATCTTTGATCTATGAAGTATTTGACTACTTATAAAACTGTAACTGTCAGGGAAGAGAGAAGAGTTGTTATAATAGAGAAGATTTTGTCGCAAGAAACATTTTATGAGACCAATGAGGTTGTGTTTAAAAATTAGAAATGGCGTGACAGACTTGGCGTGACATTTGGAAAATTCACTAAACATGCATATTTAGTAATTAAAATGGGTTTTACTATTCCATTTCATACATCAACTTGATTTGTTTCAAATTTAGATATCTTGACAATTTAATTTTCTTTAAACTTTTTTATTGTGATTTAGTATCATTGTCAATAATAATTAAATATAACAAATTAAAGAAACAATAACGCGAAGATGCTTAAAAAATTACACTTCCGAAATTGCAACTTACATATTTTTATTTTCAAATATGTAAGTTCAAATCACAATTACATAATTGAATTATGATTTTGCCAATTACTTCAATTCTAGAATGATTATAATTTAAGAAAAAGAGTTAAAAAGATAATGGAGTTCAACACCTTTATGAACAAATGGATAAGGCCGGTAGCTCTCTTATTGAAATTTTTAAATGTCTGTTTTTTTAACGAAATCTCTATTGGAGTTGTAAGTCCGACGCATAAAAATTATACAATAAAGTATGTGCTCGGTAATCACCACTGCCAATTTTAGCGACAAGTGTAATTCCAGGATTTATCTCTCTTGATTTGATGATGTTTCATTTCCCTAATTGAGGATTTATCCCATGCGTAAGGATGAACTGTTCCTTTTTCAATGCTTCATTGTTTTCATTTTATTCTGCCAGGTGGATGGGGGTTGATGATTTTTTAAGATTAGGCTATACTGTCCTTTTGAATCTTAATTGTGTGTGATAATATAGAATAGATATCTGCCCTTATGGCATGGAATTTATTCACCTACTACACGTCTATTTTCTTATCATCAGGTGGATCAAATGGCCAGAAAGATACAAGTATAGAGGATGAGGTTAGGTATCGGTACAATAGTGTCATTACACATTATAGGAAATCCTTCGTTCAAGACAATGTTCAGAGGTATCAAACGTCATTTTCATTGCACCTCTTTCAGTTTCTGTTATGAATATTTGTAGATTTTTGGCATCTGCTCTCTATCCCCTTCTTCTGTGTTATATTAATGTTTGTGTTGAACCCGTTATCATTTGAATCTTTTATCAAGCAAAACAAAGTCTTTATGATGCGTCTTATTTTTGTTAGCCTTATCTTGTGCTGTACAATAAATGTTGATTTATGCACAATATGCTACTACTAAATGGAAGTTTACCTGCCTTTAACTTTTTGAGAACTGACACTTCTAATTTTATTTTATTTTTTAAATGCAGGGTTTCACCAATTACCTTTGAACTTGAAGCTACCTTGAAATTGACCAGGTTTCTATGCAGGTATGTTTCAATGCTCAATGCCATTATTATCTCCTTGAATTAGCTTGTGGGCATGACATGCATGGCTCCTTGGTATTTTTAAGATAAATTGTAGGGAGATTGTTTTATAGTGTTGATCTGATTAGCTGCTATTTATACATTTTCTAGAAAGGCACTTCTATGAGTAGCCTTGTCTAAATTCCAAGATTTTGTGTATAGTTTCATGCAGTCGGAATGCATTCTTAAAAGGAAAATTCTTTTTAATTGTTGCTATTATTGTAGGAGAGAACTGACTAAGGAGGTTGTGGAGTCGGTAACCAATGCTGCTGATGGTGCAAAATCATTGATCGATGCCAGTGACAGACTCATTTTATATGTTGAAATAGCCCGTTTGTTTGGTTCTCTTGGTTATCAACGAAAAGCTGCCTTCTTCTCAAGGCAGGTAGCACAGTTGTACCTACAACAAGAAAATAGGTTTGCTGCTACCAGTGCCATGCAAGTCCTGGCAATGACCACCAAAGCATATCGTGTTCAAAGTAGAGCATCCAATGCAAATCATTCTATATCTAATGTGAGTACAGAACTGTGGTGCAAACTTTGTAGTCACATTTTATAAAAGCACTTCAGTCTTTGTAGACTACCATATTATAACAACCATCCATATATTCTTTCTACTATGGCAGGAAACTGAATCAGGGCATACTGATAGAGGGAAATTGCATCATCACTCAGCGGTTTCACTGTTTGAATCACAATGGAGCACCTTGCAGATGGTTGTGCTTGTGCTGCGAGAGATACTTCTGTCTGCTGTTCGTGCAGGAGACCCTCTTACTTCCTGGAGTGCAGCGGCAAGGCTACTAAGATCTTATTATCCTCTAATTACACCTGCTGGACAAAATGGCCTTGCTAATGCACTGGAAAATGCAGCCGTAAGGTTGCCTTCGGGAACTCGGTGTGTTGACCCTGCCTTACCTTTCATAAGGTTTGTCTCACTGCTTTGAATTTATCTAGAATTCTAGATTTGGGGAGGGAGAGTTCTATTTCATCATTCTGATGGTCCTGTGCTTCTGCAGCACTTAATTGTGGAGATCTTTTATGAGAGTCAGTTGCTCAGACATTCCATGTTCTCTTTAGTTTTTGCATAGGTTTTTTCTGCTTACTTCCCCGTCTATCAAGTTCTTTTGCCGAGGTCTGTGTATGGGTAATCGCATATTGTTAATCAAAAAGAAAAAGAAACTTTTGACTCCCACTTTCCTAATACCTCAGTATGCAATGTTATAATGTAAGCTGTATTCTTTTCCTCTCCATCCCTCACAAATGGACATTGTAAAACATAATCCAGCAAGAGAAGATTGGTGGGAAGGATCTGCACCTTCAGGACCTTTTATCTATACACCATTCAGCAAGGGAGAGCCATCTGATAATAGCAAGCAAGATTTGGTTTGGATTGTAGGGGAACCGGTCCAAGTCTTTGTGGAGTTAGCTAACCCTTGTGGATTTGATTTAAAGGTTGATAGCATCTATCTCTCTGTGCAATCGGGGAATTTTGATGCTTTTCCCCTTAGTGTGGATCTCCTGCCTAATTCATCCTTAGTGATCATGTTATCTGGGATCCCTACATCTGTTAGACGAGTGGTGATTCCAGGATGCACTGTTCATTGTTTTGGTGTAATTACTGAACACCATTTTAAGGATGTTGATAATTTGCTTCTTGGAGCTGCACAAGGACTTGTGCTTTCTGACCCTTTTCGTTGCTGTGGTTCACCAAGGTTGAGAAATGTATCTGAGCTGAATATTTCTGTTATACCTCCATTGCCATTGCTCGTATCACATATTGTAGGCGTTGCTGGTTCCATTGTCTTATATGAAGGTGAAATTCCAGATTTATGGATTACTCTAGCGAATGCTGGCACAATTGCAGTTGAGCAGGTACACATTTCACTTTCTGGAAAAAAACCAAGATTCTGTCATCTCAATCGGACATGAAAAATTAAAATCTGCTCTTCCACTGAAACCTGGTGCAGAACTGAGCATACCTCTGACCTTGAATGCTTGGCAACTTGGCTTGGGTGAGAGTGATACTGCAGCTGGTAAGAGTGTCTCTGGGAGCATGGGTAGAACTGTGAAGGAAGGAAGCTGCCCCTCCTTGTTGATCCATTATGCAGGTATTTTTTTAAAAATTTATATGGTACAGTCACTCGGTATCTGTCATAACTGAAGCATATTTCCCTTTTTTCGCCAGTGGTCCATTGATGTGTTTACTGCAATATTCTGGAATTTCCCGGATTTCTTTAATTTCTTCTTTGATGGGTTCCAGCTGTATTATTAGATTGGATGAACTAATCTTTTATGATTTCCTTTATAACGTAGCCCTGCAGTATTCGTGCTAGTAGCTTTGATGCATATCATCACTCATTCGTTGCAGTTAATATTTTGCATGCAATCATAATTTTAAAAGTTGAGTGTCTTTTAACCAAAAAAAATCCTAAATGATAATTACTACGGATAAATTTAGTTTCTGTTGCATAATCAAGTTCATTTGACTTGGGATGACTAGTAATTTCTTTGTGGTTCCATCATTCTTGAACTGCAGGTAGGAACTTTCTGAAGCTCATCGTTCTTTTCTCAGGGCCATTGGGATAACTTGGGGATCTTGAAAAAACCAAAACATCTGTGCCCCCGGGAAGGCGTCTAGTTGTTCCACTACAAATCTGTGTTTTGCAACTTGCAAGGTTTATCTCTTGTGACAGCTCGTTTGCTTTCCATGGAGATTCCTGCACATGTGGGTGGGAGTCCTTCCAATCTGGCTAATGGGGATGGTAACCCTTCGGATGAAGCTGTTGGCTATGGAAGTAAGAGATTGGTGAAGATTTATCCCTTTAGAGGAAGCTGGGGTTTACGTTTTCTTGAGCTAGAGATGTCTAATCCAACTGACGTGGTGTTTGAAATTAATGTTTCTGTCTTGGAAAAACCAAGCAACGAGGGCAATGTTTCTGTTGATTATGCTGAGAAATATGATTATCCCAAAACCAGAATTGACAGGGAATACTTTTCGAGGGTTTTAATACCACTTGAGCATTTTAAGTTACCATTTCTTGATGATTCATTTTTTTCGAAAGATTTGCAATCTGATGAGTCCACCGGTGGTAAAAGTTGTAATTTCTCAGAAAGAAAATACAAAATCTGAACTAAATGCTTCCATTACGAGCCTCACTTCCAGAATAAAAGTCATGTGGCAATCAGGACGGAACAGCTCCGGAGAACTGAACATCACAGATGCTATACGAGCAGCCCTTCAGTCATCCATCATGGATATACTATTGCCAGATCCTTTGACTTTCGGTTTCAGGCTTGCTAGAAATGGTTCTGAAAATGCGACAAAACTTGATTCACC